ATGCCCTTGAGCCCGACCAGCCGTGAGGAGCAGCTGGGACACTGCCAGTCCCAGCAACAGCTTGTTTGGCCTCACTGACAGATGAATCACAGCCCCAAAAGCCATTTAGTCTGGACACAAACACCCTGGACTGTGGCTGGGGACCTCCAGGAGCCGAGCAGAGGGCGGCTGCAGCAAATGCTGCTTCCAGGCACTTGGTTCTCACTTGACTTCCTCCGCTGGCAGCTCACGATGGGCTAAACACTCTCCAAGAGGAGCAGCAAATTCCTGCCTGTGCCAAGGGCTCCAGCCAGGAAATGTTTTTTTTTTTCCTCCCCTGATGCTGCTCATTAATTTTGTTTGTTTTCTTTTTTTTTAAAAAAAACAACCTTTTGCTGGTTCCCCAATTAGGACAGGATTAAAAAAACAGAAAACAAGGAAAACTCGAGGCACAGAGAATTCAGCTGGACCCCTTGCAGGGGCAGCAGGGATTGCTGAGACACCAAACTCCTTCTCAGTAACAGTGTGGGCAGCCAGGCCATCACATCTTCACCTCCCTCCTCCTTGTGCCAGCGTAGCTCATGCCTTGCCTACACTGATAAATCAGCAATAAAAGCGTGCAGGGACCTCGAGTTGGAACAATTTATTTCAATATTTCTGACACAGCTGCTGCAGGAGCCACAGAACCAAAACCACAATTTCCTACCAGAGAGGCACTGAGATGCCAGGCATAAATTACCCTGAAATGCCACAGATAATGAGGCTGTGCCCAGGAAGGTTTCTCTCCCCTTTTCTCACATTGGAAACACTCCGAGATGGTGACGTGATGTGGGAACATCACAGCAGAACCTTCCCAGCAGGATCAGAGGTGGTTTCTCCGTTGATGTTCTGAGGATGGAGCTGAGGTGCCCCACCTCAGAGCTGCATTTTCCTCCCCAGCCCTCCATGCCTGCTGCTCCGAGGCCAAAGCACACATCTAACGACTGAAAATCAGAATATTAATGTGCACCTTTCAGGAAGTAGTTGGATGTGCCACTTCCAATGAGGAAGGGTATTAATTTCAGAGCTTGTAAGAGCCGTCTGAGGCAGTTTCCATCATGATCATGGAGCTGTCTGCTGCCAGCCAACAGCAAAGACAGTAGATTTTTTTTTTTCATTTACAAAAAGACAAATATACCTCACATGCCTGCTCTTGCCAAGTGGATTTCCAGCTGGAGTTCATCACTTCTCCCACTCCCCTATAGCTGGAGTCCCTCTCAAAGCCTGTTTGGAGCAGTGATTTTGGTAGATAACCTGCTGGGTCTATTCCCTTCAGTTCAGCATGTGCAGGACCACTGAGACCCCGTTTCTAATGGTTCAAATCAGGATTCCCTGTGCTGCAGCCATGACTAATTGTGTCTCCTGGTGCTCCCCCGCTCCCAGCCCCAGCCCCTGGTTGTGAGCACCTTGTCAGTTTGCTCCCTCAGCCAAACCTGAGGGTCCAGGGGCTGGGTGAGGCTGACAAATGGGCTGTAAACCCCATCAGGTGGGACATGGACCTCCTGACCCAGCTCTGCCAAATGGGATACAACCCTCTGGGAGTGTGTGTGGGGGGGCTCTTTGCCTGGGGTGCTGCTCTGCAAGGGCACACACCAGCTCTTTCTTGGCACTTGACAAAATTTACGTGCAGGAGGAGACGAGGGGAAGGCTGGAGCAGGGGCTGCAGTAACGAGCTTTTCCAAAAATATCTCTCCTTGGTCAGAGATGTTCTATTTTTAGAGCCCCGGAGCATCACACTGACAAAGCAGCAGGGTCAACGTGTACCTTTAAACTTCCGAAGTGCCTCTGCCCTTGCACAAGCACCTTGGTGTTCCAGCAGCTGCCAAATGTACCAACAGACACCTCTGGAGAGTGTGGCCACGAGACCTGGCTGCCACCTCCCCCAGAGCACAGAGAGGGCAGCTCAGACATGACCGGACACCGTCCATCCCAGGGATCCCCACCACCTTTACCCTGAACACCTGACAGAGGTCTGGGAAAAAAATCTGTAATTTAACCCCCCCTGATTACATCTCCAGGTGGAGAAGTTGTTGGTCTCTGATTTTTGTATCAGAGATGATACCTCAGGCCCAGAAGTGACTCCCTGGGTGTCTGGATCCTTTTCTCTGCTCCAACAGATGCAGCAGAATAGGGCAGGTCCACGAAATCATCATGGGTTTGGGAGCTACTCAACAGCAAATGAAACAGGGAAGATGCCAGCCAGAGCTGTAGGACTCCTGTGTCTGCACAGTGAGCTGAGCACACAGGGTGCAAAATTAAAAATCCAACAGTTCTATTGTTAGGAATAAAACCCATCATTTGCATGTTAAAACACCATGGCTTACAGCAGCAATTTCCCTCTTTTTAACTTTCCTGGTTTACCCAGTTCCCAGGATGAATAATGCAATGGAACTCTTCAGCAGCCACAGGAATGCAAAAGTGTGATAGGACTCCTTTTCCCCCCTAAACCTACACATCTTCTGCAGGGAGCCTTTCCACAGGGACATTGAAATCCCTGCTGCCAACTCTTCTGCCAGTGGCTCTGAAAGAGCTTTTCAACAGAGAAGGTTGGGGAGGAGTCACCAGCCCCAGCAATAAACCCTGTTTGCCCAAATCCCAACACAACCTCTACAGAGTCCCATTAATGAGACCTCACATCGCTTCCTTTAGAAGGGAGCAAAGTGACCCATGGGGGGAAAACATTATCATCAAAACACGTCTGACATGTGGAAGCAGATTACATCAAATTTGAATAATCTGGGTGACATTTCAATTTAAATCGTTCCCACGTCTGAAGAGGAAAGAGAATTAAGTGCAAACTCATCTAACAGTGCCTGGCAAGGGGCATCATCAGACCCAGCAGAGACAGGAGTGCCCGCTGCCTGACCCCCACCCCACTCACTGCCCCTTTGCTCACCGGTTCTGCCTGTTCCTGACCCACTCCTGCTTCTTCCCAAACTGCAGGAGCAGCCTGTGGTCTGTGACATCCTCGAGGGGCAGGTGCCAGGGGAAAGGCTGGTGCTCTCTATGGCAGAGCAGGGACATGGTGTGCCCAGAGTCCATCCCATCACTGCTCACTCAGAGAGATGTTCCTGCCTTTCTTCTCTACTGCCAATTCGTTGCAGACTCAAAGGGAAACACAGCTTTGGAGACTTCACTCTGTTGGGGAAAAAGAAGGCTTTTCCATGCTGGAACAACACAGAGAGAAAGAAAGAGCACACAAGCACCAGAGGGGAGCTTGGCTTCTGCTGAGGGCATTTATAGCCCCACCCTCTGCCATCCCAGCAGCTTCCTCTGCAGCTGAGTTCAACTGCTGCACCCACCACCCAGGTCCTGCTGATCCTCTCCACAGCTGGCAATAATCACCCTCCCACTGCTGCACAATGGAGGCTGGAGCTGGGCAGGGTTTTTAATATGTGTAAAGGGACCCACAGGTACAATTCCATGGAATATTTTGGATGCCATGCCCACTAACCCATGAGTAAGTGACCTGTGTGTAGGTGATGCACACAACCTGCTCACCAGCAGCAACGAACCTCCTCTTGTTGGCATTTCCCAGCATTTTGTGCTTTTTACTTTTGTTATGCACAAATCCTCCACCAAGATCAGTGAAAACACCTCACTGGGTTCAACTCACACCTATTTACAAGTGTGTATCTTGATCCTGGCACAGGTCAGAATGATGTGAAAAACACCTCTGAAAGCAGCACCACACAGACACTGAGAGGCCTGTTATCACTGCTGTCATTCCACAGTGACACCTCTAGGACACAGCAGGACCTGACCTGGGCCCTCCCGCACCCGACAGCGTGAAACAGTTCACTCAGACAGCACATGGTAGTGCTTGGGATGTTTGGGAATTCCAGCAGAAGTGAGAAACTCCATTTGCAGGAGGCTGGGGTCCGGAGGCGCCGGCTGTGCCGCACACCAGCACCGCTCCAGGAACAGGCGTTTTCCATCAATGCAAATTCTTTCACTCGCATTAGAAAATAAAACAATTTCCATTTATGCATGTTTAATGAGAATTTCAAAAGCGCATAATGCAGCTAACGCTCCCAGGCTGTGTGCAGGCATCTGGAGCTGGAGGTGAGGAGCTCTGCTGCACCGCTGGATCCTGGCCCTCAGCCGGCCTCTCCCATCCCCTCCTGGAGCTTGGCCTCCCAACCCCATCGCTTAACACGTGAAAAGCATCTGGGTCCCTGGGCTCCCCCTGCCCGGCTGCCCACGGTGGGTCGGCTGAGCTACGAGACCGAAACTCGCTCATTAACAAGCTGTTAAATAATTAATAAGTTTATATATAATGGCTTCTGTGTACATAATCTCGCATTTTTCAGAAAACTATCATTGCTTTCCAGTTAGTTCCACTCGAGGAAACAAGGGCTCCTGCTTTCACTTGAACAGATTAATATTTATGTCAAGCTTGTTCTGTCTGGGAATGGGGAAAACTGGATTATTCGGCTTCCCAGCATGAGAAAGGTGGGTGGTGGGCACAGCACGTGCTCGGCTGTCAGTGGTGCCCATCAGTTGCTCCAGACCTCCTGCCCCAGCTAATGGGTCTCCAAAATGCCTGAAAGTTTGGCCAGAGAAGCTGCTGATGTCCCGTCCCTGGAAGTGTTCCAGGGCAGGCTGGACGGGGCTTGGAGCAACCTTGGCTGGTGGTTTGTGCCATCACCATAAACATGGGACCGGGAGGGCTCGTCCCCTCTGCCTTGGAGGAGAGTCCTGCAGCAAAGCTCAGCTGCTCAGCCCCAACATCATTTACCCACGTGCTGCCACAGTGAGCCACCAAAGGGGGTGTCAGGGTGTTTTGGGTACAGAGTCAGCAAACAGGAAGGTTCCAGCAAAGCTCTGTTCCCTCAGGAGTGGTGAAGGTGGCTGCTCCTTCACAGAGTGTGGATCCATGCCCTTGGAATGACGTGACTTGGCGCTGCGACAGCTCTGTGTCAAAGCAGCCCGAGCCGAACAAGAACCTTTTGATCTCAAAATATTCCTCCTTTGTTTTCACACCATGAATTGGTGGATTGCTGCTCCTCAGCTTCCACGCCGTGACAAGTCCTTCGGCAGCCTCGGCTTGCTGTGGAAACAAAATATTTTGACTTTGCTGTTTATTTCCAGTTTTTTAAAGTGTGTTCTGAGTGAATAACAAACACGTTTTGTGAGGCAGCTGGTGCTTCTTCTCCCTGTAACGCACAAGGTAAGGGAGAAACAAACATATTTGCTTTTGCTCCATCTATTTATCCAACAATTGTAGCTGCCGTTTTAACGGCACAAAAATGTAATTACCGCACGCGTCCTCGCCAGCCCTAATTAGCAGCATGCTTAAGCATACGCTCAGAGACACCACTGCTCCATGGCAGCGTTCCCTGGGCTCGGCAAGGGCTGATGGGGACATGCCCTCCTGGGTCACCTTGTGCTGATCCAACGCCGACATCTGTGCACCTTGAAAACCTGGAGTCTATTTTTATCCCAAGAAGTCCCAGACACCAAGAGCTGCATCTTCCCCAGACACCATCACACGTGGGAGATCCAGTGCAACAGGCAGTAACAGACCTTTACACTTGTCCATAATTGAGGCTTTGCTAATCCAGGAGATTTTTTTGTCCTTTCTCCTTTTTCTCCCTTTGTATTGGCAGTAGCAGCAGCTCAGCGAAAGCATCATTAATGTAATTAAATGAGCAATTTGCTCATTAACAGATTGCAACCTTTTCAACAAGCTTTGCTGGGTATTCCCCCTTTGAACACCAACTCCTCGTGCCCAGGAAGGAAGGGCTTGTCTAAGGAGGGGGTTGAGCCACGGGATCCAAACCTCTGCTCTGCTCCATCGGCAGGACCCAGCTCAGCTGAGTCCCCAAGGCTGAGCCTGCTGGTCAGTCCTGGGGCTGCTGCATCCCAGTCCCACATCTCTGGCCAGGGCTCCAGGAATGCTGGTGCTGAGCAGGGAGCTGCTCTCTCGCCTCACCCCTCAGGAAAAAGAGCCACGAGGCAGGATGGGAACAGCTCTGACATCACTGGATGGAGAATTAAAAACCCCTGGGAGAGTTTGCCACAATTTTTCACTGTGCGTTCAGAAAAAGCAGCTGCTGCTTGTGCCCAGGAGACCCAGCTCTGCTCCAGAATCCATCCTGTGTTGTCCTTTCCCGCTCTGAATGCAGACTAGTCTTTTTTTATTCCCTTTCAATTTTCCCAGTGTGCCACAAAGTAGGTGATACAGAGGCCCTGAGTGGCTCCTCTGCCCCGTGTGGGGCAGGTTGGTGCTTATGCTGGGGCCTGTGTGTGGCTCTCAACAGCTTGTCCTGGTGGGAATCCGCCACCATTCTCACCAGACAAAAGCACTTGGTGTTTCCCCGGGGCGTCTTCCCTTCTGCAGTGCTCAGTTGCCTGGATTTCTTACACTGCAGTATTAAAATACATGGATAATTATTACTGTTCACCAGCATAATAGTTTCAAGGATCAGCATCCCTACTTTTCGCAAGGAACACATCCCCAGGCGGTTGCCTTTGCATATAAGCGCACAAAAAAAGTTCAAGTGAGAAAAAAACCCCTATCAGCAAAGCACATTTATAGAGATGAATTATTATTTGCAAAATTCTGAGCATCCAAACTCATCACAGCAGATTTGAATTACAGAATTACGAGCAACAAGTTCATTTTGACCCTCCAGGCTAAAAAGTTATAATTAGCTCAGGCACCATAAAACTGGCTTTTAATTAAATCAGCCTCGGAATGGAGGGAGTTGTGCGAGGTCCCTCCCTCGCTTACATAAGGCAGCTGGCCGGGATGCTGCTGCCTCCGAGCCCAGGGAACCTTCCGCAGGATTCTCCAGAAAGGAAAGAGAGAAGTGGGAAATGGGGGGATTAGGGAGCCCACAGCCAGCCCTGGATCTCACGCAGCTGTGGCCTGAGGAGCGATCACCGCCACACGAGCTGGAAGGATGGTTGGTGTGGGTGAGTCCAGCTGCGTTTCTGGGTCCGTGGTGTCCTGGGTTATGGTGGCAGCGGTTCAGGGGCAGCCCCAGCAGCTGTGGCGTGAGGGGAGGTGCAGCCACGGGGCATCGGTGCCACGCTGGGGGGACCCAGTCCCAAACCACAGTGGTGGGACCCAGTCCCAAACCACACTGGTGGGACCCAGTCCCAAACCACACTGGTGGAACCCAGTCCCAAACCACGCTGGGAAGGGCTGGCTCGGAGGGCACGGTTTGTACTTTGAAGCCTCCAGATCAGCCAGGCAATGTGTCCCATTACCTGTTGCTGGCATTACACTGGGCTGAGTGTATTCCCCAAAAGCATATGCTGCGGTGCCAAGCGTGGCAGTGCCAGTCTCACAGTTGTCTCTTTCTTCGCACTTCCAAAAGGCTGCAGGAAATGGTGACATATGGCACCCCGGCATATGGCATTTTAATCAACACAGGTAAGGCCAGGGAAAACAGAGCCGAGCGGCATTCCCTGGGGAGAGCACCCGCCCTGGTCCCACCGGGATGCTCCGGGTGCCTCCCATCCCTGCGGGCGCTGGGACCGGTGGGTCTGTGCTGCCAGTGCCGCCCCAGCGACACCGCGGGACACACGCCGGTGCTGGGCGACCAAATGAGGTAATTAGCAGGCGCTTCCTCATCAACACCAAAGCTGAACTTCTAGTTCTGCAAATACATAATTAAAGCACGCTCTCATAATTATAAAATTCTCTTCCACTCAAGCAAAGGCGGAGGGCTGGCAGGTGCTGGAGTCGGTCCAATTGTTTCCACTCGCTCTCTGTTCCTCCGACGTGCGGCACAGCCCGAGCGTGGCGGTGAGGGAGGGGGGGTGCTGGGGCTGAGAGCAGAGCTGGGGGCTCATCACTGAGACCCTCATGGCAGAGGCTGTGCCAGTGCCCAGGGCAGGCACCGAACGGGGCTGTGGGTGCGCCAAAGGCAGAGCTGCGGCCGGAGGAGCCTCGGGAAGGATGAAACCCTCTGGTGCTGTCTCTGACGAAGACTAAAGTTGTGAGCAGTTTCAGGAGTCACTGCTGGGAGTGGAGCCTACACTGGATCAGGAAGGACAGGGAAGGCTGTCAGCACAAATACCTTGCATAGACGGGAAAGCAAATGTTGCTATTTTCCCTTAATATCCAAAATTGTCTGCAAATGCCACTGCTGTCATATTCTATAAATATTGACTGTTCCCAAAGCCTCCTGCTCAACAGCCCTCCCCAAGCCCACTCCTCCCTCCAGACTGCACACCAAATCATACTGTTCCCTTCCCATGGGCGACAAACAGCAGGAACAAAACCATTGGAGGAATGCAAACACCCAACTAACTGTGCCAGACCTGGAGACAGAAACCTGGACAAGCTCCACACACACAGGGAGGACACGGAGCGCCACAGACCACGTGAATACATCTACCTCTGTGAAAGCAACCAGGGGGTGATGGTCACCCTGCAATCCCTGCTTGGATCAAAGAAAAAAGAGCTTTTCATTCCAGTGCTGAGCCAGTGAAACTCACGGAGGCTGGGTGGCAGTGGGAGTGCATCGGCACCGGAGCACAGCCTGGAGCACCCACAGCAGCCAGCAGAGCGTGGGTGGGAAGCATTGCCTCCGGAGCCAACCTACCACTGTCCCCAAAATAGCTTGAGGATTGAAGGGGAAGGGCACAGGGAGGTCCGTGGATGCCCCCACATGAGCTGGGCTTTCCCCAGCATGGCTTTAGGGGACAACTGGAGCGAGGATTCAACCCATGTCTGCAGGCAGAACCCACATCCACACCCGTGTGGGCTGCTCAAACCACGACACTGGAAAAGCCAATGGAGAAAATCTCAGTCATGCCAACCTCTTTCTGTGCCCTTGTCCCTTCTCCAGGGGAACAATCGCTGCTGAAGATCTTTGCCAGAATTAGTTCCTCTAAGATCTGAGGGATCTTTCTGCTTCTGCACCGAGCAGTGGGAGTGAGCCCACAAATCCAGTTAGTCACAGTCACTGGATTACATCGGACCTTGTCCTCCTGCCTTTAATAACATGATTGTTTGCTGCATAAGGAGCTTTATGTAACTGGGAATCAGGGGTGATCTGCAGGACTGCACAGACTGGAGCTGCCAACCATCCGCTCTCTCTGGGCTTGTGTGAACCTCCTGCTCCCAGACCACACCTGAAAAACAAATAACCTCCTTGCTTTGGCAGCTAAAGGTCTAACCCCCTGTGCTGGTACTCTTGGTGTGGGATGTCAGTCTGATATTCCAGTTTAATGCATGGGTCTGTATCAGAGGTGATGCAGGGATGAAGTTATCCTTGAGAAATGTTTCCCATCCTGCCCCTATCCTCTGAGGACAGCCCTCAGGTGCAAGGGGAGATTTTTAGGCACTCCCCTGGCTCCAGGCAGGAGACCACTGTGTCCCAAAGCCACCGAGGCTGTTCAGGGATGACAAAGCTGTTACCAGCTCCCTCACCTATGAAAGACAAGCACTTGGAGGCTCCAGCACCATTAAATCTCTGCTTTATCACAGCAGAGCAACCTCCGCACTCCCCTCACACTCTCTGCATCCCTTTTTTCTCTGGATTTACACGTGTTTTTAAGTGACTCTGCCAGTCAGCTCCTGCACAGGGGACGGCAGATGGGCAGCATCATTAACGTCTCCAGCAGTGAGTGGTGGCATTTTTGGTGAAGTGCTGATCTTTAAGGACACGTTTGGAGATTTAGCACAGCAACACAAGTCTGAAATTCCCTTACAGTTTTGCAGCAATGGCCCCATGCTGGGGGCTCAGCCGGGTTCCTGAGGAAACTTTCCTTCCCGCCAGCAGCCGGGGCACAGCCCCCGACACCTGCACCACTCACCTCAACCAGGGCTGGGAGAGTAAAAAGCTGATCCTGAACATCTCAGTGAAGGAAACACAACTTGGCTCCCTGGAATGATGCTGCAGGGACCTGCCCAGGGGTCAGTTTTGCCCCACGGCTCTGTCCAAGGGGGAGCTGCTCTCCTGGCTGCGAACACCAGCAATTCCTGGAGGAAAGTCCACGTGGAAGCACAGGTTTCCTGCAGATTCCAGGAGTCCTTGGGGAAGAGCACGAGCCCTTTCCAGCCTGGGGGCTGGCCTGGGTAACCCACTCAGTGCTGCTGGAGCTGGATCCACGCGGATTCACAAGAGGCAACTTTGGGATCCTGGTGAAACAGCTGGCACAGTATTTATTATTGCACTGGGTTTCAACCATGGATTTAGATATTGATGGAGTCTGCGCCTCCAAGCAAAGAGTGCTAATTAGCACCCGCAACAGAGAGCCAGCTTTTAATTAAACACAGCTTAGTGAGAAGGACCTGTTAGAGATATCGTGCCTTGTGTGAGAGCGATGCGTGCAGGAGGATTTTGGAGCAGGACTGAGTCTGGCAGGGCACAAGGCACTGGGATGGGGGTCCCACAGCGGGACAGGGGGGAGGTGGGGGGCTGCCACCCTCCTGGGGGAGCCCCGGGCTGGGCACCTGCACTGCCAGGGCCAAGCAGAGCCTCAGGGCTCCTGCTGCTGACACCCTGGTCTGTCCTGCCCACGCTGCCTCCTCCACCAACCACCAGCTCGTTCCTGCCGTCGCAAATAACCAAACAAGCTGTGTGGAGAAGAGAATAATATTAATATTAAAAAGGCATTTATAGTTTTAATCAAGCTTTGGGGGGAAAAGACAGCTTAACACGGCACTTTACACAGTTGATAAAATGTTTGACATTTACTGGTGCCTGTAATGAATCTTGTCTCAATTTTCTCTTTTAAAATGCCACTCCAGATACTCTTAACTATCTGTAGGGTTTAAAAAGCACTTATCCAACAAAGCGTTATCACGACGGAAAACACGAAAGGGCGGCTGGGTGGAGCAGCACCAGCTCTGGGGTTTGCTGGCATCCCAGTGGGCACTCTGTGGGGCAGGCAGTGGAGGGGAGAGCCGGGGCAGCTCCACAGCCCCACTGCAGCCCAACCCACCAAAACACCCTCGTTTTCCCACCGGTCACAGCACGTGAAGCCCATCCATGGACCAGCGCCGAGCACCCGGGGTGCAGCAAACCCAAGGGCTGTGGAGGTGGAGGAGGCTGGAAGTTTAGTTTGTCCCAAAAGAACAGACCTTGGCTGCCAGCGCTGCCCGCAGCAGGATGGCACGTGGGCTCTGGGTGTTATCAGGGAACCGCAGCTCTCCCGTGCAAACAGAGCTGCTGCTCCACGGGCGCTGATCCGAGGAGTGTTCCTGCTCCTCCTCTGGAAGGACACTGCGGAGGGAAGTATCAGCAGTGAACACAGGCAGCCGCTGGCCCGGGCTTCCCTTTGAACAACCACTCCAACATCCTTTGCTTTTCCCTTTTTTCCTTCTCTTTTTTTTTTTTTCAGAGGGAAGAAATGAATTATTCTATGGAAGTTAGTGCCTGTCTCAGGAGCCTGGTATAGAAAATTAGGTTTTAATAGCTTTGAGATTGAGGCTCTTTGGGTCAATAGGACAAGATTCAGACAGTGAAATCACAGGCCCATAAAGGGGAAAAAAGCAAATATTTTGTTAGTCATCAGAGAGTCACAGTCCAAAGATAGCAGGCAGGAGCTTAAAATACCGCTGTGCTCGTCAGCTCCCGAAGTGTTTAGTCATAAGCTCCTTTTTTCTCTTGTTGTCTCTCTATATATTAGCTTTGGGAATGGAGCATTTGGCTTTCTGTCCTCGGACGTGCCTGGGAATTCCTCAAGTTACTGCTGGAAGTGGAAAGTTTGCTCTGAACCAAAAGCACTTGAAGTCCGTGAGGTGCCGCAAAGAGAGGAGCCACTAACTCAGCTGGCACTTCAGATCACTCAGGATGGAGAACTTCCAAAGAAGTTCTGCCTACAGCACTGGAATTATTTGACTCATTATTAAAGGGATGAATGGGTTATAATTATTCTTAATTTCCTATTCAGAGCTCATTACCACCCCTAAGAAGGGTAGGTGGGGAGCCCTTGAAATCCGGCAAGTTACTTTAAATATTCACACAGCTGAGAGAAATCTCTCATGGTTTGGAGCTGTGACAGGGAAATGGTCCAAATGGGCTGGGAAGCTTCCCCCCATGGCTGCTGCTCCCCGAGGGAGCATCCCAGCCCAGTGTTGCTGTACCAGTCACTCGGGGCTCAGCAGCCCGTGCTGGCAGTAGCACCAGCCCAGCATTCGGAGCTAAGATATTGCTAAGGGACCACCCATAGGAGAGCACACATCCCCAACACATGGAAATGTCACATTGCTTTAAGTATTGCATCCAATGCCTGCCCTCCAACCAATGCCCAATTTCCTTCCAAGGATAAAGCCACACGTTATTTTTGGCTGACCACTCCGGCTTGGGGCACTCTAATTTCCCCCCGTGCACTCAGAGGACAGACACTTCCCGTGATGCCTCAGAGCAATGACAGAGCAGGCACATTCCTAATGGCTGGCAGAGCCGTACGAAATATATTAAATGTATTAACTTTGGCACTTGCCGGGTCTCGGGAGGAGCTCTTGGAGCTGCTCGTCTGCTTCGCCTCCGCTCCCCCGGCTCCTTTCTGCTCTCCCCTTCTGCTTGGAAAATTCTCTGTCCCCAAACTACAGCTGGCTGGAGGTCACCGACATTTGCCGGCAGCTCGTCTGTGCCCCGCCGGGAGCCGCCCGTGCCCGCCCGGCCGGGCTGGCAGATGGCACGGAGCCATCCCATGGCACGGAGCCATCCCATGGCACGGAGCCATCCCGTGCCGCAGAGCAGCTGAGCCAGCCCGGTAAACCCCGGGCCGGGAGATGCTCATCGCTCCCAGGGGCTCGCCTGACCCCAGAGCCAACTCACGGGCAGAGCAGGGAGCACGGGGACGTGTCCAGGACAACACGACCAACTGCTCTTTTGGCTCAGGAACACCCAGATGCTCAAAGCCCGGCCGGGACTCGCTGCGGGCTGAGCTGCCGCGAGCGAGGCTCTGGGAGGAGCCAGGAGAGTGGGAAAACGCCTCCTTGTCCCCGTGCGGGACGAACCGGCCGGCTGCCGAGCAGTGGAGCTGCAGTGCAGGACACCACCACCCAGGGATGCCTGGCAGGGAAATGCCAGGGCTCCTCCACCACCTGCCCAGGGGGGAACCGGAGCTGGCACTGTCCACGGAGCGGCTGCCCACGGCAAACCCATGTGCTGCCCAGGGCTCCCTCCCTGGCCACGCACAGCCTGGGGTTTGATTACACTGTCAGTAAAAGAAGCGCTGGAAGATCACCCCCTGAATGCCGTGTGCCATGTGCGCTGCTGCTGCTGCCAGAACGGGAAAATTGCCCTTTGTTCTTCACAAACAAATCCGAGGGAAAGCCCGTTCTGAGCAGGCAGCGTTCTCTGGGGACTGCCGAGGACTTCGCAGGCGTTGCCGTGAATAACAGTTTATCTACAGAGTTTCGTTGAAAATGAAGCCTCAGACACAGCCTCATATTATGGGGATGCTGTGAAAATGGCTTTATAAACTATTGCTTTTTCCTCTCTGAGCAGCAGCAAAGTACAGGCCACACAAAAGCCAGCCGAGACTCTGAATGTCATAAATAAGTCAGCAGAGCTGATAAAAATAAAGGATGAAATATAATTCAGCCTTTCAGTGACAGATCCCATCTTAGCCGTGATATAGGGTCTGTTGAGACTGTCATTGCTTCAGGAAATTAAAGAATGAGCCCATTAGTGAGGATATTTAAAGATGTTCATATTAAGATTATGACTTCCCAGACTCAGCCTGAGCAGGGAACTCACTCGATTCCAAAGTCATTTTTCACAGTCCTTTTTCAGTCCTTCCCCTGAACTCCCAAAAGGTGCCATGAGGGGTCGTGGCACAAGGAGGGAGTGGGGTCTGTGGGTGACAGCACCCAGCTCAGCTTGTCCATTGCCACGGCAACAGGAACACCTGTCCAGAACCTGGAGAGATGGTGCATGTGAGGGGGCACCTGGTCCTGAGAGAGGGATCCATAACCACTGCCACGTGCCATTTCTGGGCACTGCCACTCCTTGCACACACACGTGGGAGCATCTCCACTCTCCCTGGGCTCCTGGAGCCAGGAACAGTCGCTGCCTTTTGCTTTCTACTCCTGCCTGGCCAAGCAAACACAGACACTGGCAACAACAGAGCCAAGCACATCCCAAAAGTGGCTGATGGACGGAAAGGAGCTGCAGGAAGGAGGAGGAATGGGGAGCACCCGTGGCCTGGGATGGGACTCGTGGATGCCCGTGCCTGGAGGGATGGCAGGTAGAAGAGAAAAGCAGCAGTAAAAAAAGGTGAAGGTTCTAGTCCTGGTATGTTGAAAAACTGATGGATAATTGTAATTAGCTTTCAGAATTTTTAATTATAGAAGGGGTATAAATAATCACAAAGCGCAGCTTCACTAATGAGAGTCCTTGTGCTCAGAAACACGGGGATGCATTTGTTAGGGAGACTTTGAAAGCTCTGCTGTTAATTAGGTGTCTCACAGCCAGCAGGGTTTCAGGAGAAGGAGAAACATGTATACATTTAAATCAGGCTCATTGTGAGAGGTACCCAACATCAATTATGGGATAGCAGGGTGCTAAAATGAACGCTATTTGTAATTAGGGAGTGGATCTGAAAGGCAGAGAAGAGCCTTTGCTTCCCCTCAGGTGTCTGTCAGAGGTGTTTAATGTTGGTCAGGACACAGGAGGAGATGTGACCTGCCCTCCTCACACTGAGAGCATCCCACGGCAGTGACCTACCTTCCTCATGCTGGAGAGCATCCCATGGTGACAACCAGGCACTGCAGAACATCTCAAGGCATCCCTTGGCAGGCTGGGATGGATCAGAGCTTCTGCTGGACGTCACTGCTGGGGTTTGTGGAGCCACTGCTTTTATTGGCAGGGAAGCAGAAGGGGAGGGGGAAGGCTTGATTAGTTTAATTAAGCATGTGGAGACAGATTGCAATTCCCCACCCACAAAACCCAACACAGCATCTGGGGAGCTGCTGGCCCTGCTCTGGCCCAGACCCAGGACTGAAGGGAGGTCCAGCCTCCCCATGATCCCCCGTGGGTGCACAAAATAAAACAGCAGCTAAAGGGAGCAAGTGAGGACGTTTTCTCCCTCCACTTCATTTCTGGGGCCACCTGGTGTGTTTTCTTGCTGGTCATAAACAAGCAGAAAAGAAGATGACAAAGGCTGGGAGATACTTTCTGAAGTTGTGTCTGTTTTCATCTGCTCCGAGAGCAGACCCCAAGGTCGGTCTCCACTGTCCTTCCTTACATCTTCTTTTTTGGTTACAAATTTCAAGCTCTGACACAGGAGTTTATGCAAGTAATTACGTTTAGCTGGTATTTGGCTAAATCTAATGAAGCAATGATAAACAGCTCAGCGTTTTCTTCCCTGATGACTAATGAATATTAATTTCGCTGTCAAAAAAGAACATCTACTCATTGCAAAAGATTAGATTCCCTTGCTAAAACTGGGAGAGGGGGTAAGGAGTTCACCAAAAAGGATGGAGTTCTGGGAAAGCCTGCGTCTGCTCCTGTATGTAGAGCAGCAGGCTGGGTTTAGGTGCCCTCATGAGGAATGGCTGTCAATCACCATCTGACACAACTGTCCTTATTTTTTTGGCAGAAACCCATCTGAGCATGAGCTGTGAGGACACATCTGTACGTCCCATGGTTCAGGCAGCAGTGACCTCAGGAATTACCCTCCAGCCAGGGGGTGCCTTTGGCAGGAAAATGGCCCAAAAGTCTTCTTCTACAAGCTATTTTCCTCATAGCATGTGGCTCCCCCTTTCTGGCACTTTCTCCTTGTGTTTTCAAGCGAAACAGCAAAGCCCTGCCCTGCAGGAGGATCCCAGCTCTTCACCTTTATAGGTGGGTGTTAATCTGCCGCTTGATGGTCATTTCTAGCAGCGTGGGAAACGTGGCGCTGTTGCCACCTGGGACTGGACAGGATCCTGCGCTCCAGCATTCCGTGGGATGCTCCTGCTGCTGGCTGCATGCCATCCCCACAGGTTTGGGGGGCTCATCCCAGCTCCCTGCAGCCCCCCGTGCTGCTCCCTGCTGCTCAGAGCCCCGTCTCGGTGCCAGCATCGTGTTAAACTGTTTCTAACTTTAAGCAGCTCGTGGGCTGCAGTGAAACACAGTTTGCACATGATGCGAGGGGAGCCGTGCGGCTCCTCCCGGTGAGGGGGCAGCGTGAAAATGAGTCTGCCTGGGTGGGCGAGGGGCAGTGGGACCCAGGTGGCCGCTGCAGCCCCCAGCAGGACCCCGGTGTGATGGGGTTTGCCAAGGCTTCTCCTTCCAGCGTGCTGCCGGCTGGCAGCCCTGCACCCAGGAGGGAGCTGGATCTTCTTCCCAGCAGCTGCTCTCAACAGCCCGGTGGGATGTGTTGAGTTTCTTGACGCTGTTCTTAAGCATCAGCACCCTGTGCCCGAGGCTGTGCCAAGGGCTGAGGAAGCAGCCTGAGTGCAGTGGGGTTCAGGACTGCCCGTTTCAAGGGGCACAGAGGGACCAAGGCAGCTCCTGGGCACCTGCATCCTCCCTGTTGACTTCTTGGCAAGACACCAGGAAGCTCCCACAGGAACACACCCAAGCCAAGGCTCTGGAAGGGGCTGGTGAAACAGTGTGAGGGTTTACGGTGAAAACAGATGCTAAACTCTGATTTTGGCAAAAGGAAGCATCTCCAGCATCTGCTCGAGAAGATGCCCGGGTTGGGGAACGTGGGAGCTCCCAGAGCCCAGCAAGGCTTAACGAAGCTCATCTTTCCTGTTCATCCTGGTGCAGCTCAGAGACAACAGGAAGAGCACTGACGAGTTCACCCACTGACTGGTTTAAAACACTCCAACGTGCTGAACCGTTTGCCTGCGTTGTGGAACTTTGTTCTCCCCGATCCAACTTCCCAGCGGTGCTGCCGCCCACCCTCCGCACTTCAAACCTGCTCATCTCTCCAGAGCCGGGAAAGGGATGAGAGCAGGGACTGCTCTGCCACTGACAGGCACGACTGAGCATCCCTTAGAACGAGAATGAGGGGGAGAGGAGAGGGTATTCTTGCGTGTGCAAATGCCGCCTGAATTCAGATCCAAATAACATTGTGGCAAATCTGCAGCACTGGAGATAAAAATGGTAATGAGTTTTAATAGTTTCCTTTGATTTCCACTATTGAAATCCACTCCGGGAGGCTGATATTGTGTCAGGAGGTGTTAGATCCCTGGTCACACATAAGGCAGCTGTACAGCTTCTGGGGTGAGGGAGAGGCAATGGCACACTGCTGCTGCTGCTGCTTTGGAGCATCACTGCTGTGGTGAGAGCAAAGAGCTGAGAGAGGCACCCATTAGAGCAGCCGTGCAATTAGTCCAGCTATCGATCGTTAATATGCTTTTAATCAATAACCTGGGCAAAACCAGGAGCTGGATTGATATTGCAAGGCTGTGCAATATCCATAAAATTGTCATCTGAGCATCCAGGGAGGTGAGCTGCTCCTCCACTGCTGATTAGCTGGACAAGGATGTAATCGGGCAGGGAAAGGCAGGAGGCGATGCCAGGTTGTTCATTCCCAAGTGCACGTCCCTGCCCAACAGAGAAACTCCCACCAGCGCCAGCTCCCTCCACTGCAGATCAGCATTCCAGCTAATTGTGCATGTCCACGCACGCTCCTCAGTGTCCACATCCAGGATTGGCACCTGTTCCCTGAAACTAAACCCATTCTGACACTGCTGATCAATTAACGATCTCGCTCCCCCTCGTGTGAGCAGCCACAAGTCCAGACAGAGCCACGGGGTTGGGAAGGAATTGCTTCTGCAGCCCTGCAGGTGGGCAGCACCTTAACCCCGATTTCACCGAAGGATCTGTCGCCTCACTCTGAGGAGCCAGGTCACGTCATGGCCACGAGCAGCCCGAGGCTGTGCTGACAAACCTCCCTTGTGCCAAATGGAGTTGTGTCCTGCAGTGGGGCTGTGCCTGCCGGGAGCGCAAGGCTGGCGCCCTGGGCTCTGGATGAGCCCTGTGTGCTCACGAGGAGCCATCTGGGTCAAATAGCAGGAGGAAAGCTCAAAACCTCTTTTTTTTTTTTTTTCCCTCTCCGAGAGCTCAAGGGCAAAATTTGAACATCAGAGGCAGGGACACGTCTTCCTGGGCTGATTTGTGAACATCTTGTTGAGACGTCCAGGATCAGATCTGAGAATATTTTAGAGATGCAGAGAGTGATTCAGAGTCATCCGGGTTATCCCCCCTCGCTGAGGGTGCGATTGAAATGTTTGTGGCTGAATATCACCCGGGAAGAGCCGAGCAGTCACACTGGCACACAGACTGTCATGTTTATATCCCAGGATCTCCTCAGCCTCGCTGCAAAGCTGAGAGGAGCATCCATCATTCTCGTACTCGTGCTCTGCGCCGTGGCAGGGCTCCCTCACCCAGCACCGCTCCTGGATCTGACCCAACTGCTCCGGGAGGATGGTGCACAGCCCTTCACTGCCTTCCCATCCAGCATGTCCGGCCAGGAGGGGTGAGATGCTTGTGGGAAAGGCCAGGAATATGCTGTGGCTCAGGAAAAGCGGATCCCTGTGGTTTTTACACCAGAAGTTTTAAATGCAGGAGGTTAAATTCTGCAGCCCGGGAACGTGGCTCAGCCAGGGGACCACGGGATCTTGAGGATTGCTGGCTCTCCCCAGCTCCCACCCCGGGGCTCCTCTGCCTCGGCAGCACCTTGGCTGTGCTGCAGCCTCCAAGCAGGAGCAGCTGCCCAGAGGAATCTCCGAGCACCTTTCCAGCGGGTGCTCTTTGCTGCCTGGCTGCCGGCGCGCGCAGATGAAATGGCTCCTCGTCTCTTCCCTCGGCTCCAACCAGCTGCCCAAAGACAAACTGGCCTCCCTTGGGGGGCACATTAGAAATGCTTAAGCAAATTAGCCATAAATAGAAAATGTAACATATGGGGCTGTAGATAATGTTTCATTATAAATTATCATATTCTCCAGGGAGATACGCCTCTTCCCTTCACACCAAAGACTCTGGGTTTCTTCTTCTGTGCAGATTTTGAGTTTCTTCTTCTTTTTTTTGTTGTTTTTTTTTTTTTTTTTGGTAACTCTTTCTGACAACGATTGGACTCAGTAGTTGATTTCCTGGGTGTGGAAACTGGGATAATGTGGCTCACTTCTGCTGCAAATCCTCTCAGATTTAAAATTCCCTCATTAAAAAAAGAAAACAAGCAAATACAGTCCTGATGAAAGGGCCCTGAAGATTAAACGGGGCTGTTTATCCATTACAGAGTTGCTCCAAAGACAGCAAGACTGCTCCCTGCTCTGTGCCCAGCCCTGCTGGTGCTGCAGCACCACGGCCCCAGCTCTCAGCCACATGGAAATCAGGCACTTTCCAGACCAAGAACGCCCACGACATATTCCCTCTGTACAGCTGATCTCTGAAATTCCCTTCTCCTGCTCAGGCTGAATGGCTCAAGAGGAATCTGCCCAGTGCAGATGCATCTCCTTGGGAGCCCATCCATCATCCCAACACCATTCAGCGACTGGGGACCCTGGTGGGCAGGACAGAGCTCCTCCCTCCTTGAGCAAGTTCTAGAAAACTGTGTTACTATTCATCCACCTACAGAGTCCTCCAGGGAACAGGCTCCCCAGACAGCTCGAAATTCATCTTCCACGTCTTGAAAAGTGACTGGTTTGGTGCTTTCTTCTGTTTTACTTATAATCCTGTAGGTTTTTTTCCACGCTGATCCAGAAACAAGTTCCCAGTAGCCACCTGGAAGGTCCATCTTGCTCCAGGAAGGCATTTCTTTCCTTGCTGAAACCACCCTGGGCTGACCTCCACCAAAGCCTCAATCCTCATGCAGATGGCAGCAGAAAAGAGACTCTTTTCCCCAAAATACTATTGTATATGTAAACACAGACTGTGTAGGCAGAAGCCACAGCACAGAAGTAGTTTCTACTCTACAGCTATAGGTGTATATGCATGTTGGTCTCCCAAGAAA